GGCTCTCTGAGAGTCCTGGATGGACTCTGTGGCACGTGTCAAGCTGTCAATCTTAGTGGATACTAGATTGAGAGCTTTGGTCATGAGGTTGGCAGCCTGAACAAACTCCGGAATCTTTTCTGTTGCACTGGACATGGCGTCTGCCGCCCTTTCCATCTTTGTTGACAGTATTAGAAGTTTGTCAACTGCCGTATCCCAAGATTGGATTACTTCTGCTTGTTCAGCTCCAACGTTCCTGATTTCAACAATCTCTGGTTGCTGAATGGTGTTGTCAGTGTCCTCTGGTCTTAGTTGAGGGGTAGTCGTGTTCTCCGACAACTCTGAAATTGTGAATCATGTCTCTAGATTGTTTGGATTTTGCAGAAGTTGAAGCTGCTGGTTTTATATTGCCAGCACCTCGATAGGCCTCTCTGATATAAATGATTCACAACTCTGATACTCTGGAAAGAACAAGTAGGAGAAAAAAATATTCTCACCTTCCTCTGAGTTGTCAACTGGTAAATCTTGAGGACTGTCCCTTGGAGGTGTTTCGGTAAAGTTGGACTCTACATTTATTTGGGACTCTTGGTCTTGTTCATTCATCTGAGAAACAGCCCTCGTTGTTATTGTTGACACACATCTGAATATACCAAACACAAGAAATTAATATGCATGCATGCATTTATTATGTGGGCGTGTTCTCGTACACGGACGGCACTGCCTGTCCGGTTGGAATCAACACCTGGCTTGTTAGCACCGCTAACCTCAAATCTCACACACGCGCTCCCTCCCAACTCGTGTCACCGCACTGCGTGTAACTCGAAAAAAACGTGGGAAAGAGGTGCACTTGCGCATGTAAAACCGAAGCTTCGCAAGAAAAACTAACAGCCCCTCTCCGCAATGGTTAAGAAGGTCAACTGCTGCGGGAGTTTATTAACTTGCAGCACCGCTTGCTTAAGTTACGTACCTATAGGTACATACACCTATTCGAAGGATGTAAATTTTAACAAACTGACAGCACCAAATTAATAGGAAAAAAAAAACGTACTCTGAGTAGAGAAAAAAAATTTATCCTCTTCAAGCAAGAATTCGCGTATGTTGTTCACGTACATGTAGCTCTCGAGGCCCGTGCGAGCCAAAAAATGGCGGCCTCGCTCAGGTCTGCGTGATCGTGGTGTTCGCGCGGGCTTTTATTATGTCGACCACCAACACGCACTTCTACATTGAACTACGCTGGCCGCACGCGAACAATAAAAAATTTAATAGCACTGTGCCCTGCACCCTTCGCTCATGCACATTATCACCCTGACACAGGAAACACGACTTGGAACCTCTGAAGCAAGACACTCTGAGAAAAAAAAAACTCACTGCTTTCCTCCTCTGAAGCCTTTCATGGCAAGGCCGGCTCGTCCTCTCGAGAGAAAAAAAGTGGGACCCATAACCTGTCAGAGTAGTGGGCTCGGAGATGACGGTAGGCACTCGCGAAGGAAAAAGCACAAAAGATTTAATTTCACAATGTATTTTAAACACGTAATACAGCAAGGTCAGCTTTAGGCTGATACAGTAAAAGTAATATAACAGCTGTAAAGTGGCAATCAAGAAGAGAGACAGTGTATCGGTCGGCTGCCGAAGAAGCAGTGGGGCTAGTGAGCGTCGCCAGACGACCACGAAGAGCTCAAGTGACTGTAGTGCCCGATGTCTCCATAAGGCGGCGCATGTGTGAGCAAGCCGGGAATTTTGATTGCTCAAAGCTCACTTTCTTGACAAAAAGGGAAGGGTTATTTTCCGTTTTTCCATTACATTCGAAAAAAAGTGTTAGCAATCAACTAGATTACAAATTAGACTATTGCAGTATGTTTATGAAAGTATTAATGCGATGAAAAAATGGTTACTCTGTAAATTATGAGTTTGCGAACTTGAATGGTAAAAATCGGATAGTTCTTTGAAGGTTATTAATGTTGTGTACTAAATTTGTTATAGTTAATATGTAATGTAGTTGCTTGCTAGTGGTGTAGTACGTACTGGTTGTTTGTGACGATTCTGGCTTGTAATAATATTTTCTCTTATTTCTATGCGTTAATTCTAAGCTATCCTAATGTTTAACTTTATGTTTATCTAACATCATATCTGCATTTAATATTTCAGTTTAACTGTTCCCAGTTAAACTTTTGTATCTACGGTTGTAGAAAAATATTTTATTTTGCATTTCCGGTCAACGTGGGCCAGCGTGCATGTATGTGAGTCATGCATGGTCGTAGTACCTTGGCTACGAGTATTCTTNATCATATCTGCATTTAATATTTCAGTTTAACTGTTCCCAGTTAAACTTTTGTATCTACGGTTGTAGAAAAATATTTTATTTTGCATTTCCGGTCAACGTGGGCCAGCGTGCATGTATGTGAGTCATGCATGGTCGTAGTACCTTGGCTACGAGTATTCTTGTAGGTGATTCACCTCTTTGCACATTGGCCTTGGCGTTTAGTGTTATAAAATCGGCACGGAAAGTTTTGAAGAAAGGGGAAAAAAAAATTAATGTGGATACACCGATGTTACAATACGTTCTTCAACTCTATTGTATATGTTTATTTTAATAATTTATTTATTTATTAAATAATACTTTATTACAGTAATTATCAGCATTATTTTAAAGCCGAAAAAACGTCAGGTTTAACAAAGGTAGTTACA